TAAAAATGGATTAATAGCAAGAACTTATGTAGCCTCTAATCCATTTCACCATCTTTCTCCAAACCCTATTTCCTCTAAAACCTCCAAAAGAAAATCCCAGTCCACAAAATCATAGGCTTTCTCCAGGTCTAGTTTGCAAGCAAATCCCCTCTCTCCCCTTTTCCTCTTTTCTTCCATACATTCATTTGCAGTCAGAATTTGATCTATTATTTGTCTACCCAAAACAAAAGATCCTTGGTTTTGAGAGATCATAGAAGGCAGTACTTTGCTCAGTCTCCCAGAAAGAATCTTTACTATGATTTTATAAAGGCTTCTCACCAGTCTTATTGGTCTAACATCCTTTGGGTGTAAAGTGTCTTGCTTTTTTGGAATCATAGCAATAAAAGTGACATTTGCCCCCAGGCTCACTTCTCCTTTGACAAAAAAATCATCAAAAACTGCCAATAGATAGATAGAATTGCTTCTGTACAGTATTAGAGTTTGAATCCTTGAAAGGTTTCTCAGACCAATCTTGCTCATTAATCAAGTTATCATGTAAAGTGGAACAGCAGTTACCAATGATGCTTTTGAACCAAGAATCTTATCAGCAGTAAGGAAGCTTCCTATGACTTGAAGCAAATGCTCACCAGAAAAGGCTCAATACAACAAAATGATATACCCATGATTCCATGACCCCTACTTCAAGCAATCTTAACTGCCTTTTCCCTTAATGATAAAAAAACTGTTTTTTCCCTTAGATTTGTGCCCTTGAAGGAAGTTCAAAAGATTCTAAACTTTTTTTTCCCTTAATTTCCCGTAGAGAGTTTAGCATGTGAATACATGAAGAAGAGGCAAGCGAAAGATCAAAAGATAGATGTGGTAAGATAGATTAGATAAAACTGCAACATCTTGCATGTTAGGCATGAGACTAGACCAGTAAAGCTAGCTGGGACTCCATAACTTTCTGCATGTTGAGATGGTTAGGGCTCAAGACTGTACTTCTCTGGAGGTCAGCTGGGTGAAAAATAAACTTAAAACATGATTGCAATTATGTGGGTTACTATATAATTCTGGAGAATGAAAAATCCCCTGGGCCGGATGGCTTTTCAAACCTTTTTTATGTCAAGTGCTGGGAGTTTGTGAAGCAAGATCTACTCAATGCTTTTCAGGCCTTCCACTCAAATGCATCCTTGCAAAGAAGCTTGAATGCTACTTTTATCTCTCTTATTACTAGAAATCACACTGTTTAACACCCCCTTCATCCTTGAAGGAGCTATGAATCTAAAAGCTTTTAGGCCAATAAGTCTCTTTAATGGTTTTTACAAAATTTTGGCAAAAGTTTTGGCTGAAAGGATGAAGGGGGTGTTGGTGTGATTTCCAGTAATCAATGTGCTTTTGTCCCAAGAAGGCAAATGCTTGATTCTGTTCTCATTGCTAATGAGTTGATTGACTCTAGAAGGAGAGAGGGGATCCCAGGTCTGGTGTGTAAACTGGATATAGAAAAAGGTTATGACCATGTAAATTGRAGATGCCTGGATTTTGTGTTGGAAAGAATGAACTTTGGACAAAATTGGAGGAACTGGATGAAAGTCTGCATCTCTTCCCCCAAGGTTTCCATTCTGATAAATGGACAATCTGCAGGTTTCTTCGAGAGTTTTAGAGAGCTGAGGCAAGGCGACCCTCTCTGTCCCTTGCTTTTTACATGTATCACAGAAATCCTCTCTTTTTAACTTGAGGGCTGCTGTTTCTGGGTTGTGGGAAGGTTTTGCAATCTCTCTAGGGGAGGAGAAGGTCAACATCCTCCAATTTGGTGATGATACTTTCTGCTTTATAGATGCATCCCCTGAGCAGTTGGAGACTCTACTTGGGATTCTCAGTTGGTTTGAAGTTGTTACTGGGCTGAAAGTCAACCTAAGTAAAAGTCAGATCATTCCAGTCAGCCAAGTGCCTAATTTGGAGGAGTGTGCCAGATTAATGGCTTGTCGGGTGGATTTTCTCCCTGTAAAATATTTGGGTCTACCCCTTGGTGCAAAATGCTCTTCTTCAGCTATTTGGGATCCAGTAATTGAAAGATTGGAGAAAAAGCTCTCTTCTTGGAAGGCTAAATATCTTTCATTTGGGGGAAGAGTAATACTTTTAAAAAGTACCCTCTCCAATTTTCCCATTTTTGGGGAAGGTTTAAGTTTCAAAGTAGGCAGAGGTGACAGAATCAGGTTCTGGAAGGACCCTTGGTGTTTGGAGAATCCTTTGTCTGAGAATTTCCCTCTTCAGTTTCAGTGTGCTGCTAACCAAAATGCCTTGGTTGCTGAGTCCTATAACATCTTGGGTAATGTTGTGACCTGGGTCCCCCAGTTCAGAAGAAGTCTGTTTGATTGGGAATTAGACGAGGTCTTGGGACTGCTGGAAGCACTCCAAGCTCAGAACATTGACTTCAATCTTGAAGACGAGTGGACATGGAAGTGGAGTGGTGATGGCTGCTTTTCAGTCAAATCAATGGCCATCAAACTTAACAGTTCAGGTGCGGTGAATTTTCCAAGTAAGCAGACTTGGAACCCAACCAGCCCCTCCAAAGTCAATTTCCTAGCCTGGACAGTGGCACTAAATAAGTGCCTATCTAGAACCAACTTAGAAAGAAGAGGAATGCAGCTGTCAGATGTTTCTTGTGGCCTTTGTGGATTGCAGCCAGAGTCTACAGATCACCTATGCCTCCACTGCCTAGTTGCTGCCCAGGTGTGGGATCACTTCTTAAGTGCTGTGGGGATTTGTTGGGCCATGCTGAAATCTGTTAAAGACTTATTATGTTGCTGGAAGATTAGGAGCTTGAAGAAAAAACGAAAGTTGGTGTGGAGAACTGTTCCGGCTGTTGTCCTATGGTCCATTTGGACTGAAAGAAACAACAGAATCTTCTGTAATAAAATGAAAAGTCCAGAGGAGATAGTGCAGTGTGCAGTCAGTAAACTGTTCTTCTGGGTATCTCAATCCAGAATTCAAGCACCCGAATGTTCTGCAGTTGCTTAGGACTCAGTCTATTTGGTGTCTGTAATTGGTGCTGATCTCTGTCCTGTCCCTTTCTGGACAGGTTTCTGTTGTAACTTCTATCATCTTCAATAAAATTACCTTACCGTTTCAAAAAAAAAAAAAACTGGAGGTTTGGTCTCCTCCAAGTGATGGGTGGATGAAGCTCAACTTTGATGGAAGCAGTTTTGACAATCTGGGACCTTCTGGAATTGGGGAAGTGATTAGAGATGGTGATGCAGGAGTTGAAGAGTCAAAATTGGAAATTTATGAAATTTTATGTATTTCTGTATTTTTGGACAGTAGGKGTATTTTTATCATATTACAATTTTCTGTAGGTTCCAATAATAGGGTTTGGTTGTCTATTTATATTTTGTTTATGTTTAAAATTTCAGTCATTGCGTAAGTAGGATTAGGGTTATTGAGTCTTTTTTGAATTGAAAATAGGATATGACAGCTTAGTTTGAGTCCTACTAGGATTATTGAATCTAACAGTTTGACCCCTAGGACTATTATGAGTCTAACAGTTTGACTCCTAAGGTAGTAGGGTTATTATGAGTTTAGAGTATAAATATGTATGGACGTTTTACACAAAGGCAATGGAGTTTATTGAGTTTTCTTCAGATTATTCCAACTATGGTGAGTGATTCCCATGTCCTAGAGTGATTCTAGGCACCCTGTGAGTGATTCCAGGTATTTTTTCTCTTCTTTCTCTCCCTATTTTCTCTCTTATTTCTTCAAGAAGCCATTACAGCCATCAACAACCATAAAATTCTGATCAAAGAAGACCATACATTCTCTAAGGACTAGAACTGAGCTGGTCCTACATCAGATGGTGGTGGGAATATTTGTGGCATGCTTTCGGGGCCTATTGATCAGGGTAATTCAGTGAGAGCTGACTTTTTGGCTGCCATTGAAGGGTGTAATTCTAAAAGCCAAGGAAATGGGAATTACAAGGCTGATTGTAGAAGGGGATTCAAAAATTGTCACTGGCTGGTTGAAGGGGTTTTATGGCATTTCAGAAATGATTTCAAGCGATTCAAGATGCTGTCAAGGCAAATGCAAATTCAAGTAAGATGGGTTAGGAGGTCTGCTAATGGGTTGGTGGATGGACTAGCCAAGCAAGGAGTAAACAGACATAATTTGTTTTGGGCTCAATGTTAAAGGGGTGGTGGGATTCTTTGTTGTAAAGGGTTTTGTCTAACAACTTCTTGTTGTATTATTTTCCCTTTTAAGCTTTAATAAAATTCCTTGCATGGCTGATCAAAAAACATTATGTTAGTTACTATATATGTTTGGATGGTTCATAAATAGTAGTATGGCTATTTTAAGAGTTCTACAATTAAAGTAACCTTGTCATGCCAGTTTTTGGCATAGGTCCTTTCTTAGTGGGTCCCAAATTTCATATCGGTAAGACCTGATCATCTGAATAAGAAACACATGGGCCATGGAAAATTGTGGGGCCTCAGTACAGAACTTTGTGTCCTTTAGGTCCAGACCAACCACATTCTCCAAAAGATTAATGTAAAAGAAACTGTATCCAACCTAAAAATGGTTAATGTTTGATTCATTATTCAGATAACAATAATCATTTTTTAATTCTCTAGTTATGTTAGAGGCAGTTTATATGCCATTTTTTTCTTGATCAGCAGCAGTTTATATGTCATTTGATCTATTGCTTGGTGCAAAATAGTAAAATCTAATACCAACAAACATGAAAGCACAATTTCAAGCCTATGAGCAGCCACTTGGTGATTAGGTTTGTGCACAGTCCTCTCCTCCCATGACCTGGATATGGATAGATGAGGCCAGCAATGGTAATAGTTGTCAACTTGTCAAAGCAAAATCTTCATGCTCTTTTTTTGGTCCTCAATTATGGCAAATGTTTTCTTTACTTGTGCCAAGAAATCCTCCTCTAGRGGTGGTTGTTTTGAATCTTTTGATCACTTTTTATTTCCGACTTTTGTTTCTGCTCACTTAGAGTCTTGGGTAATATTTTCTGGCAGAATTACCACAATTTTTATTTAATGCGGGGTTTTGCCGTGATGGGAAAGTTATTGGGATCACTCAACCTCGCCGTGTTGCAGCAGTCACTGTTGCTAAACGTGTAGCAGAGGAATGTGGTGTCGAGTTAGGTCAGAAGGTTGGGTATTCCATTAGATTTGAGGATGCAACTTCCAGCTCAACAAGGATCAAATACATGACCGATGGGTTGCTTTTGAGGTAAATATTATTTGAACTGGTTTATTTTATATCTGTTTTTATATTCTTCACCTTCTAAGCTTCGTTTGGAGTCAATTTAGATTTATGATCTGTTAATTCCTATATGCTATTGCTAATAGTCGTCTTGCCAAGGGTTGGGATTGGGATTGTATCAGTGGTGGTTAGCTCTGCTAGTGCGGTGTTGTCTTGTATTCTCTTATGCGATATATTTCTTGTTGCCCTATATTTGGGATTGATAATGCTTATGCACTGCTTTCTTTCTCTTGCTTTTGTTCTCCTTTTTTCCTCATTGTCTAATAATATCCTTTTTGTTATAATTAAGGAATTCAACAAAAGGTGGCTCTACCTGGTGGGAAGAGTGTAAAGTAGAGGGGTGGGCAGGATTTCGATTCTGGTAAAAACTGAAGTTCTTAAAAAGAAATCTTTAAGCTTGGGGCAGGGAGGAGTTTAAAGCAGCAAAAGAGGAAAAAAACAAAATCTTCTTGAAGCTGAAGGATCTTGACATTATGGAGCAGAATGGGATTTTGGATGGAAGTGATAGAAGTGGAAGGACATTTTTTAGAAAAGATTGGGAGAAGATTGTTAGGAGGGAAGAGATTTTTTGGAGGCAAAGGTCTAGATTGAGATGGTTAAAAGAAGGGGATAACAACTCCATTTTTTTTTATAGTTATGCAACAAGAGGCATAGGAGAAAGTGCATTTCTAAAATTAAGGTGGGGCAAAGAGAAGTGGAAAGCTAAGAAGAGATTGGGGAAACTATTTAAACTTGTTCAAGAACCTGCATACCAAGGAAGACAAAATGAGTTTTGAATTAAAAGGGTCTATCTTTAGTATGGATGGAGATAGAGCTCTTAGGCCTTATGGTTTCCCTATGTTCTTCTATCTGATATGCTAGGGTATGATAAAAGTAGGGGATTTTCATCATTCAGTTATAGTGAATAAAGGTGTTAATTTGACTTATAAGTCTAATCCTAAAGAAAGAGGGAATGCTGGAGGTTAATGACTTAAGATCAATCAACTTGGTTGGGGACACTTCAAGATTTTGGCAGAAGTGTTGATAAGGAGGTTGAAGGAAGTGGGAATGTGGCTCTTCTGGGGAAATTGTTATTGGAGGTCCTCTTTAGAGAAGAAGAAATTGTGGGCTAAAATAGTGGCTAGCATTCATGGGCTGGAGGACAACGGATGGGATCCTAGAATTCGGGCAAGGACTACAAGTGCATCACCTTGGAAAGCCATCCATGACTTGTTACCAATTTTCTCCCCTCTTATTGGGTATGACTTAAACTCGGGCAACCTTATCAAATTTTGGGAACAAACTTGGGTGGGGAATGCCCCTCTGAAGGTTCAGTTTCCATCCTTATATGCCCTCTCCGACTTGAAAAATGAGCCAATTTCTTCCTTCATTATCCCATCATCTTCAAACTCCGGGTTTAGGTGGAACTTGGGCTTGAGGAGGGATGTTAGAGATACAAACCTAAACAACATCTTGAGTCTCCTAGGTCTTCTTGAAAATATCTTCTTGGACCCCACAAAGGAAGACACTAGAATTTGGACCCCCACCCCCAGAAGCACTTTCTCTTGCACCTCTTTCTTCAAAGTCCTAACTCAGCCTACCAGCCCCCTAGGCCTTTCTTTCCCTATCAAAGAGATTTGGTGCAGACCAATTCCTCCTAGGGTTGGTAGTTTTTGTTGGGAAACGTTTCTGGAAAGAATCGACACTAGTGATCTGATTCAAAAGAAGAGACCCAAGACATGTTTATCCCCCTCATAGGTGTATTCTTTGTAAAGTTGATGGGGAGACTGGTTTTCACCTATTGGTGTCATGCCAGTTTGCAAAGACTATTTGGGAATGGGCTTCTTCCCTCTTTGGGTGTAGTTGGACCCCTCCATTGAACTTGTAGAGCCTTCTTCTTTTTAGGTGGCATCTGAAAAGGGGTAGGACTGTGGAGATGCCTAAGGGCTGCGGTATGCTGGTCTCTATGGGAAGAAAGAAACTCTAGAATCTTCTCCAAAATAGAGAGAAGTTCTGAAAACCTGAGAGATATGATTCATATAAGGGTGGTATAGTGGCTGAAATCATCAGAGCTGTTCAGATTATACAGTGGATGATCTGTGAAGGAAATGGGGGGAGATTGCCAGATGCACCTAGGTCAAAACAGGACTGAGTTTGTCTTGGACTCCTCCCCCCTCAGGCTTTATGAAACTGAACTTTGATGGTAGTAGTAGAGGGAACCCTTGCATTCAGGGGTTGGGGGTGTGCTTAGGGATGAGAATGGGAATGTTTAAGCCCTGTTCTCAGGTCCAATTGGGGTGGGTCATTCTCTCAAAGCGAAACCTATGCAGTTGTGGAAGGTGTCCAAAGAGCAAAGGAAATGAACATAAGAAGACTTGTAATTGAAGGTGATTCAGAGGTGGTTCTAGGTTGGCTGAATAAAGACAATACTGGGTTATAGAATTACAACAATGAAAGGAGAAAGTTTAGGTGGCTGGTTAAAGACATGGAAGTCAAGATCAGCTGGGAGAAGAGATATGCTAACTCGTTTGCTGATGGTTTAGCTAAGCAAGGGGTGGCGAGGGAATCTATGTTCTGGGCTCAGTTGTATCTCTAATTCCTATTCATGGGGGCTCAAGTCTCAATTGGGGGAGATAAGAAAGTTTATCTCCTTCTTTGTAATTATTATTTCTGATTGATTAATGGAATGTGTTATTGATAAAAAAGGAGGTTGAAGGAAGTGTTGGGAGGCGTAACTTCTCTCAACCAATTTGCTTTTGTCATGGGGAGACAAATTGTGGATTGGATATTAGTGGCAAATGAGTGTCAGAAGAAAGAAGACAAAAGGGGTAAGTTGGGTGCACTCGTCAAACTTGATTTAGAAACGGTACAAATGTCAAGTTTGAAGGTGAACTTTGAAAAAAGTTGTGTAGTGGGTGTGAATTTGGAGGTGGGAGAAATTAGGGAGAGTGCAGAAGTGCTAGGGTGTGAGGTCTCAGGATGGCCATTGAACTACTTGGGATTGCCATTGGGTGACAATCCAAAGAGGGAGGGTTTTTGGAATCCGGTGGTGGAAAGATTTGAGAAGAGACTTGTCTCTTGGAAAAAAGAATTACCTTTCTCTTGGAGGTAGGATGACACTGATTAGGGCTACTCTAGAAAATTTACCCATTTATTTCCTTTCAGTGTTCAAAATCCCAGTAAAGGTAGCTAACAAATTGAAAAAGATGATGAGAGATTTCCTTTGGGAACCGGAAGAGGAGAAAAGGGACCATAGGGTAAGCTGGAAGGTGGTGACCAGGAGTAAAAATAGTGGTGGTTTAGGGCTTGGGAACATTAGAGAAAGGAATTTGGTCCTTCTGGGGAAATGGCTGTGGAGATTCCCACTAGAGAAGGAGAAATTATGGGCCAAAATAGTGGTAAGCATACATGGGCTGGAGCTAAATAGATGGGATGTTGGAATCTGGGCTAGGACCACAAGCGCTTCACCTTGGAAAGCCATTCTTGACTTATTACCAGTTTTTCCCCTTTTATTAGGTATGATTTGAATTCAAGTAACTCCATAAAATTCTGGGAACAAACTTGGGTGGGGAATGCCCCTCTAAAGGACCAGTTTCCTTCTTTGTATGCCCTATTTGTTTTTAAAAATGAGTCAGTTTCCTCTTTCATGACCCCCTCCTCTTCCATTTCTGGGTTTGGTTGGAATTTTGGTTCTGAGAAGGGCTGTGCGAGACTTAGACCTTGATAGGTTTTCCAGTTCCTCCTACTTCTTGATAATGTTTTCTTAGTCCCTGTTAAGGATGACTCTAGACTCTAATTCCCACCCATACTGGTTCTTTCTCATGTGCCCCCTTTAAAGTGTTAAGCCAGTTCACCAATCCTGTAACCCCCCCTTTCCCTGTTAATGAGGTTTGGTGCTAACCATTTCCTCCTAGGGTTGGTAGTTTTTGCTAGGAAGCCTTTCTGGAAAGAATCATCACTGGTGATCTGCTCCAAAAGAAGAGACCCAGTACTTGTTTGTCCCCTCATTGGTATGTTCTTTGTAAAGCTGATGGGGAGATTGGTTTTCACCTACTGGTGTCTTGCCAATTTGCAAAGTCTATTTGGGAGTGGGTTTTCTCTCTTTTTGAGTGTACTTGGAATCCTCCTTCAAATTCGCAAGGCCTTTTTGCTCCTTTTTTCAAGTGGCGTATGAAAAGGTGAAGGACAATGTGGAAAGGACTGAGGGTAGCAGTATGTTGGTTTTTATGGGAAGAAAGAAACTCCAGGATTTTCTCTGAAGTAGAGAGAGGTGCTGAAGAGCTGAGGGCCTTGATTCATATAAGGGTTGTACAGTGGATGAAATCCCTAGAGCTATTCACAAATTATACAGTGGATGACATGCTGAGGAAATGGGGTGAGATTGCTTGCTGTTCCCAAATTAAAGCAGGGATGAGTGTGTCTTGGACTCCTCCACCTGTGGGTTTCATAAAACTAAACTTTGATGGAAGTAGCAAAGGGAACCCTGGACAATCAGGGATTGGGGGTGTTTTCAGGGATGAGAATGGGGTTGTTTCTGCCATGTTCTCAGGCCCAATTGGAGTGGGTGACTCTCTCAGAGCTGAGATCCATGCAGTTATGGAAGGAGTCCAAAAAGCTAGGGAGATGAATATCAGAAAACTCATAATTGAAGGGGACTCAGAGGTGGTGGTAGGGTGGCTGAATAAAGAAGATAGTGGTTTATGGAGTTATAGCAATAYGAGGAGGAAATTCAGATGGCTGGTTCGAGAAATGGAAGTTGAAATCAGTTGGGTAAAAAGATCAGCTAACTCTGATGGGTTAGCTAAACAAGGGGTGGACAGGGATTCAATGTTCTGGACATAGATGTAATTTAATATTCTTTTTGCTGTTTTCTCTTTCTTTCTTGTTTCCTTTCTTGGGGCTCAAGCTGAAGTGGAAGATAAGAAAGTTTGTCTTCCTCTTTGTAATTTTTATAGTGATAATCAATGAATTGTGTTATTGATAAAAAAATGGATTCAGTGGATAAAAGGGTGTACCGACTTTGCTTGGTTCTCAGTGTTGTTAAATGGTGAGCCTAAAGGTAGCCAAGGTCTCTGGCAAGGACAGCCTTTGTCCCCCTTGCTTTTCATTTTGTAAGTTGATATTCTTAACCAGTTTATTGATAAAGTGAAGAGTTTAGGTTGGTTGAAAGGTCGTCAGATGGGACAAGAAGTAGTTAACATTTTATTTTGTTCATGGAGGTGAACTTGGAGAATATAACCAATCCTAGAAAGGATAATTCATTGCTTTGAATTGGTATATGGGCTCTAGGTTAACTTTTCACAAAGTGGTTTAGTGGGGATAAATACATTTAATGAATCTTATGGAAGGCTTTAAGGAGATTCTGGGATGCAGAGAGAAAAACTTACCCACTTCCTATTTGGGAATGCCCCTTGGTTTGAATCCAAGAAGTAACAGCTTCTGGAACTTGGTGATGGAGAAATGTGAAAAGGAGTAGCCACAAATTCTCTCAAAAGGGGGAAGATTCACTTTAATAAAAGCTTCCCTTGCTAACTTACCTACTTCCTTTGTGTGCTTTCCTGGAAAAGTAAGGACTCAGATTGCAAAGATGCAAAGAGATTTCTTATGGGACAGGGGAGATGAAAGAAAGAATCTCCTTGTTAGTTAGGAGCAAGTGTGCAAACCAAAGGAATGTGGAGGTTTGAGTATCAAGCATATTAGGAATTTCCCTATTAAGTCCAATGCCATATGGACAACAGTCATCGCTAGCAAGTATGGGAAGCATGCGAATGGTTGGGATAGCAAGGACCAACGGAACTGGGTGAAAGCAACCAACCCCTGGAAAGGTTATATCTCTATCTATTCTAACKTCATTCCCTTTATTAGATATAAAGTTGGGAATCGTTTTAAAATCAAAATTTGGACTGATCATTGGTGGGGTGAATCTACTTTGGATGAGTCCTTTACCAGACTTTTTAAACCTGTATAGAAACCAACAAGCTCCTGTTGCTACCTGCCTGTCTTTCTTTTCTCATGGTATTAACTGGAACCTAGATCTTCAAAGACCTCTAAGGGATGTGGAATTAGAGGAGGTTGCAAATCTCCTCTAGTTCCTCAGCCTTCGTACCTAAACCAACACATTTGGAACTTCATTCCACTGGTAAATTCTCAACCAACTCCTTTTTCAAAGCTTTGACAACTAGAGAGCTAAACCTTCCTTCTCCCTATAATATAATATTCGGTGTTCTCACATTCCTCCTAGAGTCTTTCTTTTTTTGTGGGAAGATAGTTTGAGGAAAATAAATACATGTGACCTGGTGCAAAAGAAGAGCTGAGGTAGGTTATGCATCTCCCCTCATGCATGCTCTTTACGCCTTAGGGGTGGTGAATTGGTGGAGCACATCCTTCTTCATTGCTCAGAAAAATTAGGGAAATTTGGCACCACCCCCTTAATCTTGTTTGCTGGCCATGCCTGAGCATATTATAGGTCTTATTTGGCAATGGCAAGGTAGAGAGCACTTGGCAAAAGGGAAAAAGTTTATTGGCCACAGTATCTCATGCTGTTTTGTGAGGTGTTTGGGAAGAGAAAAACAACCGCGTGTTAGATAAGTAGAGAAGAGGGCCACATATCTTGATGACCTGATTGCTCATTATCTGATTTATGTAATATGTGGGTGGTAAATGTTAAGACTCAATGGTATCTCTTTGAATGATCTGCAGAGAGATGTGAACTTTTTATTTTCTCCCCCTATGGTTCCTTCTATTCCCTGGGTTTAAGGCTCAAGTCAGGTAGTGGTGGTAAAATCGAACTTTGATGGAAATGCTTTGGGGAGCCCTGGTGTAGCTGGAACTGGGGGAGTGATAAGGGAAAGGATGGTTGCATTTGCTTGGATTTGAGTGGCCCAATTGGTATTGCTGACTCCTCAAAGGCAAAGGTATTGGCTGCTCTAAAGGGATTTGAATTGCAAAAGCATGGTTCTCTCCAACCTGTCCATTGAAAGTGACTCTACTTATACCATTAAATGGCTAGGGGAAAAAGATGGAGGTCCCTGGAGGCTGGCTCATTACTTGAATGAGTCTAGAGACACCTTGCACTCGGTGAATGCAAATCTACATTGGATTCCTAGAGAGCTAAACTCTATAGCTGATAGACTAGCTAAATCAGGGGCCCAAGGGGAGTGTTTGTATGGTGGAAGAAGGCTGGCTGTGTAATCTTAGTGGTGGTTTCTTTTTTTTATTTTCTTTTTCCCTGTTGTACATTTTGTCATGTACCTTCTTTATTTTCAGTAAAGCATGGTTATCTTCTCTCTTTCTCTCTCWMAAAAAAAAATCCTTTTAGATTTTCTCAACAGCATGTGCTCATTCAATGTTAAACAGTACTCATCACTTGGGAAGTCATGTGGAAACTTGAAAGTATTTATGTTGAATGAGTATGTGTATGATCATATTGGATTGGGATCAGATTATGGAAATGGGTGTATGTCTGAGACTATAGAGACAAGTGACCTTGAAGAGATCTTGGAGATGAAAAGGAAGGTCTAGGTTTCCAAGGTACACATTTTGTTCTTTTCCTTTGTTTACTGAATTTATTAAACTTTGTCATGAAGAGTAGTATTATGGATGTGTCTTAGCATATTTAGAAATTTATAACTATTGAAAAATTACAGTGTAAACTAGCTTTTGAAATATTGGTAGGAAGCTTTTTTAATAACAATACATTAATATAATGCTAGAACTGATTCACATAAGGGTGATGCATTGGCTGAAATCATTGGATTTGTTTACAGATTTCTCAGTGGATGATTTGCTAAGAAAATGGAAACAAGTTGCTAGTTCAGTCTCAGTTAAGAAGACCTTAAGTCCTTCTTGGAATCCTCCACCACACGGCTTTATTAAGCTGAATTTTGATGGTTGTCGTATGGGAAATCCAGGGCCTTCTGGAGTTCTGGTATTGGGGGAGTTCTAAGGAATGAGAATGGGCATGCAATAGCTATGCTCTTTGGCCCGATCGGAGTGGGAGATTCTCTGAGGGCCAAAGTACTGGCAGCTTTGGAAGGGGTACAATCAGCTAAAGACCTGAATATTAATAAGCTGGTTATAGAAGGAGATTCTGAGATTGTAGTGAGCTGGTTAAATGTAGACAACTCTAGGATCTGGAACTACATCAATGAAAAGAGAAAGTTTAAGTGGCTGACTAAGGACATTGAAGTTAAATGCACATGGGTAAAAATAAGTGTGAATACTTTCGCAGATGGGTTAGCTAGGCAAGGGGTGAATAGGAATTCTGTTTCCTGAGCTCAGATGTAATTGTTTTTCTTCTTTTTTGGGTGTCTGTCGACATCCTTGGGGAGTTAAGATAGTTTAGCTGCCCTCCCTTGTAAGTTATTTTTTTCTGTTAATGAAATTCCTGTTATTGATAAAAAATACATTAATATAATGCTTGATATATTTACAGGGAAGCGTTGCTGGATCCATTTCTCTCTAGGTATTCGGTTGTCATTATTGATGAAGCTCACGAGAGAACTGTCCACACTGATGTATTGCTAGGCCTGTTAAAAAATGTACAGAAGACAAGATCACAATCCACCAGCCAAATGAGTAGCCTTGAGAAGATGAAAGCTAGCAATGGAACTGTGCTTGAGAAAGACAATCATGCACAAAGCCAGAGTTTTCAGAAGTCGTACCACGGAACAAAGTTTTCTCCATTGAAGTTGATCATAATGTCTGCGAGCTTGGATGCAAGGGGTTTTTCTGAGTATTTTGGTGGTGCCAGAGCTGTCCACATTCAAGGGCGCCCTTACCCTGTAGACATACTCTATACTCATCATGCCGAACCAGATTACCTTGAGGCAACCCTGATTACTGTTTTTCAGGTGGTTAACTCATGTCATGCCATTTTTCTTTCTTCTATAACCTATACTATTTTTTTTTTTCTATCGGTCTGAGCTTGTTATCTTCTGTATCTTTTTTATTTATACTTTTTTCCTATTTAATGTGAGACCTTTTGTAATCCATTGAGACAACAGAAGTGTGGACACACCTAAAGAATGGGGTAGGGGTGGGGCTGTGGGGAACTGGTTCAGTTGATTTAACAGGATGTGTTTTTTCTTTTCTTCTGTTATTGTTACCTGCTTTCTTGTATCTATACAATGCCCTTGTTTCTGATGTACATCTTGCATATTATTTCTTATCAATAAATACCAACTATTACTGATCAGAAAAAAAGTTGAAACAGGATAGAAAAGGAGAAGAACTAGTGGAGTTGACTTGAACATCAAGGAAAGTAATGTCAGCCTTTTGGATTGCCCAGTCATTATCTATTTATCTCTTTATACTGCATTTTATTATCCTTTTGTTACAATTTATCATTATTTCCTGGTTTTCAACCCAGGCAGTTTGGCTGTCAACTAAGCTTGGACTACCTTCTTATCTAACATTTCTTTTATAATGATTTAGTGGCTATGCTCTTGATATAGCAATGGTCACCCCTGATTGAGTTGCTCATTGAAAACAAAACTCAATCAATTGTTTTTTCTGATGTCTAGGCTGAGCTATGTGCGCCCCATTGTATTCCTGCTTACTTTTCTCTATTCTGCCTCTTTTTGAACGTGGATTTTGTTATTTTTGTTAGATCCATTTGGAGGAGGGTCCTGGTGATATACTTGTATTTTTGACTGGGCAAGAAGAGATCGAATCTGTAGAGAGACTTGTCCAGGAGCGAGTTCAACAGTTACCTGAAGGCAGTCGAAACCTTCTGGTTATTCCCATGTTTTCATCTTTACCATCAGAGCAGCAAATGCGAGCTTTCAGGCCAGCTCCATCCTGTAGCCGTAAGGTATTTACGCTGATATATGTTTTTTTTAGTAGTATATGGATTAGGTGGTTGGTATATGTTTTAGAAGGATGCTCAATGGCTTATGAATTACAAGAAAACAAACCTAATTGTGGAGAACGCTCAACCCAGAGAGAATGTTGTGGTTTGTGAATTTTAGGAAATTTAGGGTTGATAAAAAAGAATTATAGGAACTTTAGGGTGAATGTGGTGCAATTGTTTAAAAGGCGCGCCTAGGTGCATAGGCAAGGCACGTTTTAGGGTATGCACCTCGCCTAGGTCCTAAGCGCAACAGTTTCAAAAGGCGTGCGCCTGGTGTGCCTGATGTTCCTTGTGCCTTAGCCCAGGCGTGCACCTTTTTTAAATTTTTGCGCTTTTTATTTTTTGAACCTAGCGATTGGGATGGGCGCTCCGCCTTCGGACCCTGGCCAAGCCCCTCGAGACAAGCCCAAACAAGTCCATGTTAGGGTCTTAAATTCTTAATCTTCACACAAAAATAATGATTTTATAATTTTAATTGCCTTTTAAGAAGATATTTTATTATGATTGAATGAACAACATTAGCAAATAGGGGTTCTTGGAGCAATTAAAATTATAAAATCATTATTACTTGTGTGAGGATTAAGAATTTAAGAACCTAACATGGACTTGTTTGGGCTTTCCTCGAGGGGATTGGTACAAAGGTGTGTCGTAGAATCAGGAATGCAATATGTTTTACATCACACTAGCTATTTGAAGTAATGCAGTTGAGGAAAAAAAGAGATTGTGAGTGTTACATGCTTGAAAATGTTTTATATGTTTGATTTTATTTTTAAAATTTTCATTTGAATATGCTTTACATGTTATGTTTATGTATTTTAATCTTAGATAATAGGTTTTTTAAAACATTTATTTTAAAATTAAGTTTATATTTTTATTAATATTATGTTCACTATTTTTTTAAATTTTCTTTGCATTTTTGGCATTTTTTGAAATATTTGACATTTTGTTTATTTTTTGGCTTTTTTTTTGTATTTTTTTGCCTTGCTTCAAAAGGCGCGTGCCTTGCCTTGTGCCTCAGGTGCAAATTGCCCCTTGCGCTTTTAAAACACTGATGTGGTGGGAAAAAAGAGGAAATTAAAGATACAATTATGAGAAGAAGAGATTAAAATTTGGACAGAGAAGAGATGGCAAATATTGCAACTTTAGATATAAAGAGATAGGAAAGAGAGAAAAATGGCACTCTTACCTGTAGGCAAATGAGTCAGCGAATTTGTTGGTAAACCTTGGAGTTTGTGAAACAGAAGCTCCTGAAAGTGTTCTCTTGTGATCTTGCTCAAGTCTGATGTTTCAGCTGCCATGCTCCTTGTCAGGTTCCTTTGTGGCCACTCTACAATTACGTCTCAGTCCCCTTCAATAATCAGATCCTCCTTTCTCAATCTCAGCCCTCAGAGTACTGCATGCAGTTCAGCCTTAATAGCATTATCAATGCCTAACAGACCAAAGAACCCAAATAAGTTCTATCATTCATGGTTTCTGATTGCACCTCTTACTTTTGATAGCCTGGGATTATCCAAGCTTCACTGATCGAAGTTTTACTTGAAATTCTGTTTTTGAGGTGCCAATGCAACCACTTGGCACTTGCTATTCCCCCAAGGATATATTTGGAGTAACAAGAGAACTCTAAAGTCTTTACTTGATGGATGATTCTTATCYCCATCAATCCCACTATAGCCTCTACATTGATACTTGCCAGAAAAATTCTGGAATTTTGTTCTTCCCAAATTGTCTAGAGAACAGCTCCTCTTGTGCACCTCCATAATATCTTCCCCCTTCTTCTAGGTGGGGAGAAGAAAGAAGGCCGTTCATCTATATCCTGTGGAGGGGGGAAGGGGTCCACCTGGATCTAAACAAATCAAAAAAGTGTTCCTAAATACCATTCCAGAAATTGACAGGAGATTAGTAGGTGGGTAGTGGTTTGGCAACTTTCCTTGCAAACAAGGCAACACGATTTTCTTTTTAATATTTACTTGTGCTTTCATCATGGTTTTTTGCACATGGTTATGTCAGTGTAAAATTTTGAGGATGGTTGATATTATATGCCTGAATGTAGTTTTTGATGTTGTGAGTGGCTTTTTATAGGTTAGAACTTCTTGTTGGCTGTTGCACTTTGCACTTCTGTTATTGCAGTGTGTTTGTCTTGTAAAGCTTCCATTTTTCAAATTTATGTTTACCTTGTTTTTTTTGATACTATAAGTTTATGTTTACCTTGTTAAAACTTCTATTTCAAGTTCATACTTATCTTGTTCAAACTTCATATTTCAAGTTTTGATTTTATGTACAGCTACCAATTAATATGCTTTCTGTATTATATAGGTCATATTGGCAACAAATATTGCTGAGACATCAGTCACAATTCCTGGAATCAAGTATGTTATAGATCCTGGGCTGGTAAAAGCACGCAGTTACAATCCAATTACAGGGATGGAGTCCCTGATTATTATTCCAACATCCAAAGCGCAGGCTCTTCAGAGGAGGTAAGCATGCTAGATCATGGTTGACGATGATTCAAAGGGTTTGGATCTTATAATACTTAGAAGAGCTTATATTTTCATGTTTATGTCATACTAGTGAAGGGGTCTCTTACCATAGTTGTCGAGGTGTATAGCCAAGTTGCCTGGTTTTTGACCAAGAAAAAAAACTAAGCATAGTTATCCTTCTTTTCTTGTTTTTCTCTCTCCTCAAAACTCTTGTCCTTTACATCTCAACAATAAAACTCTAAAAGTAAATGTGGGTTAGAGAATTAGAAGAGAAGAGAGGGAATATAGAAATAAGGGAGAAAAGAAAAAATGCAACAAAGGTTCACGTTGAGAATAAACGCAGAAGGATGGAAATGTTAACCAAACAAGGAACAAACAGATCGAATTTGTATTGGGGGGCAACAAATGAGGAATTTGGGACCTAATTTGCTGTATATCATGTATATATGTGTATTTGGGGAATGGTAGCTATGGCTGTCTAGGGTCTTCTGGAGTTAATACCCCTTCTTGTATGTCTCTTGTTTCATTTTTTGTATTGGAAATGATAACTTTCATTTTAATTAGTAAGAAGTACAGAATAAGCACCTGAAAAAGGAGTGCCGAACTCCACATAGCAGTCCATTATTACAGTGCTGCCCTAAATAATTCAGCCTTGATTGATCCTTGTTTGGCTAAACCATCAGCCAATCCATTGGCTGACCTTCTAACCCAATTAAATTTTACATCATTTTACCTTTCCAACCACCATATTTCTCTCATGGTTTGCCTATGTGTACAGACCCCTAAATTTCCTTCCTGAATCCATCCAATTATCAATCTTGAGTTTTGCTTCAATACGATGGAGGCTCAATTGTTTAGCCAATTTCAACCCTTGAAGGAGGGCCAATAACTCAGCTCTTAACAAGTCTCCTACCCCTAATGGCCCCAATATAGGACTTAGAATCTTTCATTTCCATCCCTTGGATCTTTGCCTACTGCCGATGGCCCCGGGTTACCAAGTGAACTCCCATTAAAATTCAGCTTAATTATTTGCTGTGCAGAAGGTGCCCAACTTTCCTGAACTATAGTTTTAGACCTTGAAGAAGTTGCTACTGCATTCCAGCCCCTGGATGTATCATCAACTGAGAACTCCTTAAATAAATCCATTATTTTAACCCAATGTGCTACTTTGATGGTAATGCTGTCAATGGTTTCCTCTTTTGACTTTCCTGCCCTTGAAAGATCTGGTTGTTTCTTTCTTCCCAAACCACCTTTAAAATTGCTGCTCTCCATCCTCCCTTTTCTTGGTTGTCTAAAGAAGCTTTGCATCAAAGAGGCCTGCCACACTAGGAGGGGGAATCCACCTGCAACTAAAGAGAGAAGAAAACTACTCCCAAATACTAGAGACAAAAGAGCAGGAGATTAGTTGGTGTTCAGCTGTCTCACCCATAGTACAAGACACAAACATGAGGAGATAGGCACCAATTTGGCCTTCTTTTTTGAAGTCCATCACAAGTGTTAATAAATCACTGTTTTCAAATAAATATAAAAAACAGAATAAACACATAAGAAGACTAAAAAACCCTTTTAATTCATTCTCTCCTTAAAACATGACTTGCAAGATGTATAAGGAGGCAATAGGGCTTAGGTTCTTGTTTAACAAAGTTACAAAATTGCCACTGGCAAGCTTCAGCCCATAGAAAATATCATAATTCCAATTGCTTACTAATATAAACTAAAAAAGTGCATTCAACCCCCTCCCTCACCCACCAAAAGGGTGGGGGACATTTTATTTGTAGTTAGAACCAAGAAAGCATGTAGTGTTTGTTTTCTTTCCTCTTCCCATCAAAAGAAGTCATTTCATTTTTCTGCTAAGAAGATTACAATAGTATCATAGACAGGGAAAGAAAATATCAAATGCACACACACACATCATAGGTTGTTTGCTGGAACATAATTGATTTCTGTTACTCTGTTTAATGCAGTGGTCGCGCAGGGCGTGAAGGGCCTGGGAAATGCTTTCGGTTATACCCAGAGAACGAGTTTAGTAAACTTGTAGATTCCACTGTGCCAGAGATCAAGCGTTGTAACCTTTCAAATGTTATATTGCAGCTCAAGGCTTTAGGTGTTGATGATATTATTGGGTTTGACTTCATGGAAAAACCATCAAGGTGAATTAAATTGCCCTGGTGTGCTACCTTTTTCTGCAAGGATGTTTGCACTGATTATTATTGTTCCTAAATGAAAACCTTTATATAGCATGGCCTTAATCCTAATGCTGCATTATGAGCTGTATCTTTGTTTCTAAATCTTCAATTAAAGAAAAAAACGAAAGAGTGTTTTACACAACTTATTTATGGCCTTGCATAAAGTGTGAATTGAGGTGCATCTGGACAATGACATTTTTTTTGGTAGGAAACAACAAATTTTATTAAATATAAACAAAGCAAGATGTACAATTCTTAAGTACAGAATTTTAGCAGTCACCACTATCTCTCCCCATACAGGGTGTTACAACTCGGTCCAAAAAAATGTTTCTATTAACACCCTGCTTGACTAATGTATCAATCAATACTCACTGATTTTTTGTGTAAACCTCTAGTCAGCCAACTCAATTTCATAATTTCATTCCTATATGTCCACACAACTTGCTCATTATTTACCAACCACCCAATCACCACTTAGAGTTGCCTTCGGTTATGATTTTATTCAGGTTCATTTCTTTAATTTTCTGCATCCCTTGAATAACCACCATGAGTTCTGCTCTTGTATAAAATCATTGCGAAGGTATTATCTCTCAGGATCAGGCATGTTCTTCCTATCGTTATTACTTCCAACCAAGGGGCCTGTGTAGAGGTGTAAATCGGGTTGTGCCGCCCGCGGCCCGTCACGAACTTGGACCAGCCCGGCATGACACGGCACGATCGAACGGGCTGTGCCACTTGCGGGCCGGCATGACCCAGCCCGTAGCCCGACCCAGCACCACCCATATATATATAATACATATTATATATATTATATTATATTATATAAATTATAATTATGTATTTTTAATTTTATTATACTAATTTATTTAATTATTGTATATATAAGCAATTGTATACACAAAATTCATATAAAATTAAAATTTTAAGTTTTTTATCAATTTTTTTAAATAGATAGCTTTGGCCCGATGCACGGCCCAACCTGACCTAAGGCTCAGCCTGGCCCGTGGCATAGCACGRCACCGTGCCATGCTGGCCCAGGCTGACCCACTTTACACCTCTACCTTTGTGCAAGGAAGGCAAATTGTGGATCAAATTTTGATAACCAATGAATGTGTGGAGGATTTGAGGAGATCAGGGAGGAAATGAGTTGTTTGTAAGCTTGATCTAGAGAAAGCATATGATATGGTGGACTGGTCTTTCTTGTGGGAGGTGATGGGTTGTTTTGGATTTGGAAGAAGATGGTGCAAATGGGCGATGGGGTGCTTGAGGACATGTCAGTATTCAATCCTGGTGAATGGGACAATAATGGATTTCTTCTTGGCCTTAAGGGGTATTAAACGGAGATTTTCTTTCTCCTTTTTTGTTCACTTTGGTAGCAAATGTGTTGGGGAGATTGATGTCAAAACTCTAGGAACTTAATAAGAGGTTGGAGAACTGGCAGGGAAGGGGTTCCAATTACTTATAGTTTGTTGGTGATACAATTCTCCTTTGTGATGGTGGTGATTTGAGTTGGATTAGGAATCTTAGAACTGTGGTGCAACTTTTTGAGCGGATGTCAAACTAGAGGTGTAAATCGGGTCGTGCTAGGCCGACCCGACCCGCGCAAAGAGGTGCAAATCGGGTTGTGCTGCCCGCCGCTCGGCCCGACCCGATGGTCACAGGTCATGCCGTGGCTCGGCACGATTGTATGGGCTATGCTGCCCGTGGCCTGCGACACGACCCATACAATCATTTTCAATTTTATTTAATTATTGTATATATAAACATTTGTAACATCAAAATTCATATAAAATAAAAATCTTAAGATTTTTTTTCAATATTTTTAAATAAATAGCTTTGGCTTGGTCCACAGCCTGGCTTGGCCTAAGGCATGGCACAGGCCCACGCGGGCTTGGGTTGTGTCGGGCCGACCCCCCAAAATACCTGTTGTTGCTTGTGATGAATGAGAGAGAGAGAGAGGTACGAATGATAGAAAGAAAAGCAAACTCAGTACTGGCAGCCGCCAATCTTCTATTTATATTAATCTTTATAAAAAAGGCAAAATTACAAGTATGCCACTGGCGGCATATCCTTGGATAAGAACAATAAGAAAAGAAAGAAAGAAAGGACTAGTAGCTGAAACTGTCCCACTAACATCAGTTACAAGGAACACTCAAGGCTTACAACACTCCCCCTCAAGTTGGGCTGAAGATGTCTATCATGCCCAGCTTGTCACATAGCTCATTGTGCCGCGAACACAGAAGTCCTTTTGTGAGGACATCAGCAAGTTGTTCCTTGGAGTTGACA